ACCAGGATAACTCCAATGCCCATTCCACTATTCTTCCGGTAGCCTCTGGGTTTAGGAGTATCCTTTGTAACGGGAAGCGTGTGACAACCATGATCTCATGGGCTTGGAAGTAGTGGTGCAGTTTCCTTGAGGCCATGACAAGGCCGAAAATCAATTTTTGCATACCAGAATACCTGGATCTAGCCCCCTATAACAGGGAGCTGACGAAGTATACTGGGCGTTGCACCACTTTCTTCCTTGCCGCGTCCTGGGGTTGCCTTCGCTGTCGTGCTTCTCTTGGTCCTGATCCATATCTGACCTTGCTGAGTTGTTCTCTCTTTCTTCTCTTGGTGGGACATCTGTTGAGGCTGTTGTCTCCTCCATTCCTACTGTGCCACCAATGCCACACTGAACACTTGATTAGTCATTGCCAGAAACAGCAACAATGGCTCTTGTGGTTTGGGTGCAACCAAAGTGGGCACAGAAGACAAGTAGCTCTTCAAATCTTGCAGCGCTGCATCTACTTCCGGGGTCCACTTCACAGGTCCTACCTTCTTTAAAGGTTTGAAGAACGGCAGGGCGTGGTCGGCAGACTTGGAGAGGAATCTTCTAAGCGTGGCAACACATCCTGTCAGACGGCTCACATCATTAATTGTCTTTGGTGCCTTAATCTGCTCGATGGCCTTAATCTTATCTAGTTTGGCCTCGATCCCATGGTGGGAAACAAATAAACCAAGTAGCTTGCCGGAGGGAACGCCAAACATACACTTCTCCGGGTTTAGTGATAAGAGCATTTCCTATTCATAATTTGGCACACAAATTTAGCATTTACTGTGATCTGACCATCAATTTTTGGTATGAACTGTTGCATATTTGAACGAAAATCATGTAAAAGGATCATTTACTTGTTACTTGTTTCTTTTGCAGAAACGTGCGCAAAGGCACTATAAACCGAAAAGAAAGGAGGGACCTGAGTTGATAGCAGATTAAAGCTTCAAGGGGCCAAGCTCAAGATGGGAGGACCAACTTGGGAAGAACGAAGGGAACTAGGAGGGCAAAATTGCAAAGTGGCAGATCTGATCGAGAGGGGTCAAATCCCTAGCCATCTCATTCGATCCCCTGGGGGCCTGGTTACACATCCCTCTCTCCCTCATCCCTCCTTGTCCACCTTCGGTCGCTGCCACGGCCAGGCCGGTGTGGTTGTGCGCCTCCGTGACCCATCCATCCAGCAGCGCCACCAACTCCGCCACCTCACCACCGAACACTACAGCGCCTCCATATTCACTATGCCATCCATCCGCCATCACCAGCGCCAGATCGCTCAAGCCACCAGATGGCCTGTCTGATCCGCCGCGCGACCAACACCTCACACCCACGCTGCTACCTCTCCTCCATGGTCCTGCTGCTGCTCCTCTCTCCCTAGCGCCACCATACTGTTGCTTTCTCCCATGCCCCTGCTGCTGCTCCTCTCTCTGCTTCTCCTACTCTGCTTCCCCTAAAGCTGTTGCTGCTCTTCATCTCCTGCGCCCCCTGCTGCTCTTCCTTGCCGAAGCTCTTCTTTGAACCTCTCCTCCTCCCAACGTCCCCCTGCTGCTCCTTCCCTTTACATCCTGCTTCCGCTCCCCAACTTCTCTTGCTGCTCCTTCTCTCTGTACCTCTGCTGCTGCTGCTTCTTCGCCTACCTTGCTGCTTCCCTGCTTCTTCTGAATCACTTTCTCCTTCTCCAACACTTGCTACTGTTCTCTCTCCCTCTCTGAAATTTCTATGTATTAGATGTGAGTGGGTTCCTGTGAAATTCGGACTTGTCCTTGTCTGGATGTATTCTGTTGATTTGCAAGAACTAGAACAATTTTTGTGCGTGTACATGTGTGTGTGTGTGAAATTTATGTGAACATTTAGAATGAAGACTTGATAATTGGTAATCTGTTTTACTATTTCAATATATGTGAATTTTCTGTCAGTTAGTTTCCCATGATATTCTGATTACCTATTGTGATCAATTTGTGTTGTTTGTGCTCTCTGTCAAGTGAGTTGTTTGAACATCTTTAATTCTTAGTCCCTGTGTTAGCTATGTACGTGTGAATATATATATGCTTGTGATGTGAAGTACTTCTGGTCATGTCCCTTGATCTTAATTATTCTCTTTCATACTAGTTGTTGAACATTTATGTGTTGGTGTCTTGTAGTTTTCCTTGTTTCTCATGTCTGCCTGTGCTGGTATTTTAGTTCCCAAAGTAAAAAAAATAAAACACCAAAAATATATTGAGTACATTTTATTTGTCAATGATTTTCTCGAACAAACTTGCTTTACTTTTGTTTTTCTTGCAATATCAAAAACCTTTTTGTCTGATCTAGCTTTAGCCGAGCACGACTGTCGTCGCCTAGTCCCCGTGGAGAACACGACACTCGTAGTTTGGGCGTAAAAACCCCACTACACTTACAATTGATCATTTTGGTGCCGTTGCCGGGGACTAGCGTCGAGTAACCGTGTTAGGCTATAGACTAGGTTTTTCTTCCTTTTCTAGTTTGTGCCATATATTTGTGATATATTTCTAACCACTAACCCCTGTTCTAGTTAGTATTTTTGTTTGTTTGTTTTCTTTTCCTTTTTGCAGGTTAGAACCATCTTCTCGGATATGGCTTACTATTCAGATCATCATGCTTATGCGAGCAACACTACAAACAACACGGAAAGTATTCAAGAACTGATAAGTAAGTTTTCCCATCAATTAGATGATTTAGCTCAGCAGTGAGAAGTAGTTTTTGAGGATAGGCCTAGCTCTTATGATCCTTGTTCTAGAGGCCATCCTTATGTTGCTCCTACTTGCCATATTTGTGGATTTCAAGGCCATTTGCCCGCTGAATGTCAGCGTGGTTACTCTCACACTCCAGATTGTTTTGGCATGAGCTTCGCTCAAGAGCATAGCTCATACCAAAACAATTACTCACATGGGTGGCCTGAAAACCCGAATATGTCATATAGGAGCAACAACCCTGAGATCTCACCGCTTGCTTCTAGTAATCATATGCAGGGATTTAGGTATGAAGAGGAGAACCACAACTATGTTGTTGGAAATATGCCCTAGAGGCAATAATAAATGGATTATTATTATATTTCCTTGTTCATGATAATTGTCTTTTATTCATGCTATAATTGTATTATCCGGAAATCGTAATACACGTGTGAATACATAGACCACAATACGTCCCTAGTAAGCCTCTAGTTGACTAGCTCGTTCGTCAACAGATAGTCATGGTTTCCTGACTATGGACATTAGATGTCGTTGACAACGGGATCACATCATTAGGAGAATGATGTGATGGACAAGACCCAATCCTAAGCATAGCACAAGATCGTGTAGTTCGTTTTGCTAGAGCTTTTCCAATGTCAAGTATCTCTTCCTTAGACCATGAGATCGTGTAACTCCCGGATACCATAGGATTGCTTTGGGTGTACCAAACGTCACAACGTAACTGGGTGACTATAAAGGTGCACTACAGGTATCTCCGAAAGTGTCTGTTGGGTTGACACGGATCGAGACTAGGATTTGTCACTCCGTATGACGGAGAGGTATCTCTGGGCCCACTCGGTAATGCATCATCATAATGAGCTCAAAGTGACCAAGTGTTTGGTCACGGGATCATGCATTACGGTACGAGTAAAGTGACTTGCCGGTAATGAGACTGAACGAGGTATTGGGATACCGACGATCGAGTCTCGGGCTTGTAACGTACCGATTGACAAAGGGAATAGTATACGGGGTTGCTTGAATCCTCGACATCGTGGTTCATCCGATGACATCATCGAGGAGCATGTGGGAGCCAACATGGGTATCCAGATCCCGCTATTGGTTATTGACCTGAGAGCCGTCTCGGTCATGTCTGCGTGTCTCCCGAACTCGTAGGGTCTACACACTTAAGGTTCGGTGACGCTAGGGTTATTAGGAAGACTTGTATGTGATTACCGAATGTTGTTCGGAGTCCCGGATTAGATCCCGGATGTCACAAGGAGTTCCGGAAGGGTCTGGAGGTAAAGATTTATATATGGGAAGTTGTCATGCGGACACCGGAAAGTTTCGGGGGCATATCGGTATTGTACCGGGGCCACCGGAGGGGTTCCGGGGGTCCACCGGGAGGGGCCACCCCTCTTGGTGGGCCACATGGGCCACGTGGGGCAGGGCACCAGCCCCTGGAGGGCTGGGCGCCCCCCCCCTTGGGCCCATGCGCCTAGGGTTGAGGGGGAACCCTAAGGGGGCGCACCGCCTTGCTTGGGGTGCAAGCCCCCTCCTTGGCTGCCGCCCCCCCTCTAGATCTCATCTAGAGGGGGCCGGCCCCCTTCCCCCTTCCCCTATAAATAGAGGGGCGATGGGAGGGCTGAACACCTGATCCAAGGCGCAGCCCCTCCCCTCCCCAACACCTCTCCTCCTCCGTTGAGTGCTTGGCGAAGCCCTGTCGGAGTACTGCCTCTCCACCATCATCAAGCCGTCGTGCTGCTGCTGGAGCCTTCTTCCTCAACCTCTCCTTCTCCCTTGCTGGATCAAGAAGGAGGAGACGTTGTCTGTACCGTACGTGTGTTGAACGCGGAGGTGCTGTCCGTTCAGCACTTGGTCATCGGTGATCTGAATCACGACGAGTACGACTCCATCATCACCGTTCCCTCGAACGCTTCCGTACGCGATCTACAAGTGGTATGTAGATGCAATCTTTCTCTCATGACTCATTGCTTAGATTAACTCATAGATGGATCTTGGTGAAACCGTAGAATTTTTTTTTAATTTTCTGTAACGTTCCCCAACATATGCTCCACAACAGATTTATTTAGCTCCTACTCATATACCTCAACACCAGGAGATGTTGCCAATGGAGTTAAATGGTCCTCCATTTGGTCAACCAACAACTCCAGCAACTGCTGAGCAATCTCATGTGCAAGTGCCCCAAAAGATGAATTTGATGATATAGACAAGCTCACATTGCTTAGTCTCAAGTTCACTTGGAGTGTTGAGGATGATCCAATTAGGCCGATGATACTAGATGAAATGAAGAATATCAAGAGTGGAAAAGAGCTAGTGGATGAAGTAAGGAAGATTGAGAAGAACATCAACGCTGGTAGTACTATCTCATCTCTCCTTCAGCTGAGTGCTACTGAGATTTCTAGTCATACATGTGAGGTTCCAACACCGTCACATTTAGCTGAGCAAGATAGCGAGAGCCCAGAGGAAGAGATACCTCAGATTGAAGATGTACTCGAAGCCAAGGCACAAGATGATCCAGAGCTCGAACAACAAAGTGATCAAGTTGAAGACTCGTCATCTACTACTCCTGAAGAAGTACAAGAAGATGATGTAGATGAAGATGAAGAACCTGAGACGCATTTGCCCATCGTCATACAGGAGCGTGATTTAGCAGGTTTATCCAATCCTCTTGATGACATGCTTCCTTATGAGATCTTTGCTGGTACTTTCCATTGTGTTATACCATCAATTAAGCTAGACTTGAAAAATTATTTGCTTGGACATGATCATACATACATTGTTGGTGGCATTGCTCTCATTCCTGATGATGACACTTACTATTCCCATGCTAGTCTTGAGCTTAATGATAAATTTCATCCTCATGTTAGTGTCGACCTTGCTGATTTCTATCATCCTAAACATGTGCTTTATAGCTATGCTTATGTAATTGGATATTCGATTGATGACTTGGAGGGTATTATCCCTACCACTTGCATTGTCTCTTTTGTTGAGAGTGCTTTTAGGTTTTTGCTTGTGCACGATCCATTACATGCTGACCAGGTTTGAGGTGACATTCCTTGGGACCCTGGTGGACTCAGAGCATGGGGATGAGGAGAAGCAAGGGGGCACACACGAGGAAGGGAGAAGCTGGAGCAGGCATGAGGATAGAGAAGCAAAAGGAGAGGCGCTGCAGTTGGTGAGGTGATCGAGAGAGTGCTACATCATCAAAGCCCAGTGAGCTGTTTCATGACCCACTCCGAGTATATCATCCATTGATACATGCTGAAATCAAATGTTATTTGGGTTGCTTGAGTCATTTCTTAAATACCGTCCCACTGAATCTTACCTTCGACATAGGGTGATTGATGTGAATATGTGAACTGAGTGTTGAATGCCTTGTAAACTAGTGATCTATACAATGCTTGCTTTGCTGAAATTGGTGAAAGCTATTAGTTTTGAGTGCTCAAATCCCTAGTACACTAGAAAACTTAATCATTTTCTGCTTTTACCTCGATACACCTAGATCACCACGTTTAGATGCTGAATTTGTGCCAAGTGTCATCCCATTGAGAGCAATTACCTAACCACTATGGATTAGCATGCTATGTTCCCTGGATCGGTAGCATGTGAACCAGACATGGAGAAGTGATGATTCCTGTTTTTGTTCTTATGCGTTGTTCATTTAAGATAAGTAATAATGTATAAATAAGTCTGGCTACCTACAGTAGCATGTCATGTTCCCGGGATCGGTGGCATGTGAAATCGGGTTAGCTTGGGCAGTAATTAATAATAATAATAATGTAATTGTCGAACCAGGTGTATACCATGTTCTCGGGATCGGTGGTATGTTCCTTTGGGGAGACAAACAAACTTAAAAAACTAATAATTGGTCGAGCCAGGTGTATACCATGTTCTCGGGATCGGTGGTATGTTCCTTTGGTGAGACTGATAAAATATTATCATTACTTCCTTCAAATTTAATAAGTGGTTCAACCACATTGTTATATTTCTGCAAATAAGTGATTTAATTCAAGTTCCTTTTGTTCTCAGGATCATGCTCTCTTTAGGAACCTTTTGGCACAGTCAGCATTTGAACTTGCTAATCTTCATTTATCACTGCAAAAGTTTAAAATTGCCGAGTTTAATAGTGTCCTATTGATATGTAGCACTCTTAACCATTAATTTTCACTAGCCAAGTCCAAAGCATGCATTGTTTGGAGATCTACTTCACTTGGACATTCTCAAGTCAGCTCACTATTCACTATCCTGTTCTTGTCATATTCCTTTGCTTGAGGACAAGCAAAGATTTAAGTATGGGGGAACTTGATAAGAGCATTTCCTATTCATAATTTGGCACACAAATTTAGCATTTACTGTGATCTGACCATCAATTTTTGGTATGAACTGTTGCATATTTGAACGAAAATCGTGTAAAAGGATCATTTACTTGTTACTTGTTTCCTTTGCAGAAAAGTGCACAAAGGCACTATCAACCGAAAAGAAAGGAGGGACCTGAGTTGATAGCAGATTAAAGCTTCAAGGGGGCAAGCTCAAGATGGGAGGACCAACTTGGGAAGAAAGAAGGGAAGTAGGAGGGCAAAATTGCAAAGTGGCAGATCTGATCGAGAGGGGTCAAATCCCTAGCCATCTCCTTCGATCCCCTGGGGGCCTGGTTACACATCCCTCTCTCCTCATCCCTCCTTCTCCACCTCCGGCCGCCGCCACGGCCAGGCCGGTGTGGTTGTGCGCCTCCGCGACCCATCCATCCAGCAGCGCCACCAACTCCGCCACCTCACCACCGAACACTACAGCGCCTCCATCTTCACTGCGCCATCCATCCACCCTCACCAGCTCCAGATCGCGCAAGCCACCAGATGGCCTGTCTGATCCGCCGCGCGACCAACACCTCACACCCACGCTGCTACCTCTCCTCCATGGTCCTGCTGCTGCTCCTCTCTCCCTAGCGCCACCATACTGCTGCTTTCTCCCACGCCCCTGCTGCTGCTCCTCTCTCTACTTCTCCTACTCTCCTTCCCCTAAAGTTGTTGCTTCTCTTCATCTCCTGCGCCTCCTACTGCTCTTCCTTGCCGAAGCTATTCTCTGAACCTCTCCTCCTCCCAATGTCCCCCTGCTGCTCCTTCCCCTTCACTTCCTGCTGCCGCTCCCCAACTTCTCTTGCTGCTCCTTCTCTCTGTACCTCTGCTGCTGCTGCTTCTTCGCCTACCTCGCTGCTTCCCTGCTTCTTCTGAATCACTTTCTCCTTCTCCAACACTTGCTACTGTTCTCTCTCCCTCTCTGAAATTTCTATGTATTATCTGTGAGTGGGTTCCTGTGAAATTCAGACTTGTCCTTGTCTGGATGTATTCTATTGATTTGCAAGAACTAGAACAATTTTTGTGCGTGTACATGTGTGTGTGTGTGTGTGTGTAATTTCTGTGAACATTTAGAATGAAGACTTGATAATTGGTAATCAGTTTTACTATTTCAATATATGTGAATTTTCTGTCAGTTAGTTTCCCATGATATTCTGATTACCTAGTGTGATCAATTTGTGTTGTTTGTGCTCTCTGTCAAGTGAGTTGTTTGAACATCTTTAATTCTTAGTCCCTGTGTTAGCTATGTACGTGTGAATATATATATGCTTGTGATGTGAAGTACTTCTGGTCATGTCCCTTGATCTTAATTATTCTCTTTCATACTAGTTGCTGAACATTTATGTGTTGGTGTCTTGTAGTTTTCCTTGTTTCTCATGTCTGCCTGTGCTAGTATTTTAGGTCCCAAAGTAAAACAAATAAAAACACCAAAAATATAGTGAGTACATTTTATTTGTCAATGATTTTCTGGAACAAACTTGCTTTACTTTTGTTTGTCTTGCAATATCAAAAACCTTTTCGTCTGATCTAGCTTTAGCCGAGCACGACTGTCGTCGCCTAGTCCCTGTGGAGAACACGACACTCGTAGTTTGGGCGTAAAAACCCCGCTACACTTACAATTGATCATTTAGCTTCAAGTTGATCTTGCGTAGATTAGCAAATGTCTCTTCCAAATCTTGGATGAGGGTTGATTTTTCCTTGGTCTTGACCACAATATCATCCATATAAGCTTCAATTTCATGTGCAACTATGGCTCGAAACCAGTTTGGACTGCTCTTGCAGAAGTGGATCTGGCACTCTTCAACCCGAAAGGCATGTGCACAAAGTAGTATGTGCCACATGGTGTGATGAAAGAGGCCTTCTCTTCGTCTTCCTTGGACATGAATATCTGATGGTACCCAGAGTATGCATCCAGAAAGGAGAGCAAATCACCCCCGAAAGTGCAATCCACAATCTGATCAACGCGTGGCAAGGGGAATGGATCCTTCGAGCATGCCTTGTTCAAATCCGTTAAGTCTATGTAAAGCCTCCATTTCCCATTGACCTTGCGCACAACCACTCGGTTTGCTAACTATGTTGGATGTAGTACTCCTCTGATCAAACCAGCTGCTTCAAGTTTCTTGATCTCCTCGGCAATGAACTGCTGCTGCTCCAAGGCCTGCTTCCGCACCTTCTGCTTGACGGGTCGGGCATGTGGGCAGACAGCGAGGTGGTGCTCGATTACCTCCCTAGGAACATCGGGGATATCAGATGGTTGCCAGGCAAACACATTGATTTTCGCCCGCGGGAAGGCAACGAGCGCGCTTTCCCATTTGTCATCGAGGGTGGCATTGATAGTAAACGTACCTTCAGTACCGGCCAGCCCTGTCGGGACCATTTTCACATGGGTGCAGCAGCCTTGGTCCTCTTGCTGTTGGAACTCTCCGGCACGTCATCAACATGTGCGGCACACTTCGTAGAGGCTTGCTTCCCAGATTCCTTGCTGGCGTCCCTACTATCCTTTTTCTTTCCTTTGCTTTCCTTGGCAGGCACTTCGGCTTCAGTGGCCTCTGCCGCAACTGTGTCCCCGTACATCTTACACACGCAAATCATTGCTTCTTTCTTGTCTGACAGAATGGAAATGACACCCATCTGCCCTAGCATCTTCAAGGTGCTGTAGGCATAGTGGGATGCCTCCATGAATTTGGCCAAGTCCGAGTGCCCAAGGATTCCGTTGTACGGCAGGGGGAGGTCGACCACATGAAACACAATCTTTTCACTCTGCAAGTTTAGCTCTCCCCCAAATGTCACTGGCAACATGATTTTCCCTTAGGACGACTCTTGCCAGGATTAACTCCTTGAAACGTGCCCATGGACTTAAGCTCTTCCTCTGCTATCTGGAGTTTGCTGATAACTTATGGAGAAGTCAGATTCAACCTGGCACCGCCATCAACCAACATCTTTGTGACTTTGAGGTTGTAGCTCATTGGGGAGACCAACAATGGAAAGCACCCTACCACAGTGGTGTGGTCGGGTTGATCCTCTTCATAAAATATGATGGGCATGCGTGACCATTTGAGCGGCTTCTGAGACCCTGCCGCTAGTTCCATGGCATTGACCTCACACGCCTACTGTTTAAGTTTGCGGTGAGAGAAGTGCGAAGATGGACCCTCGTCAATGCACAAGGCGTCAGTAGCCTTCTGGAATTCCTGCTCACTGGTTTCCTCTTCATTCCCTCCATCACTTTCATCATTGCAATAATCCTTCTCTCGGCCACTGGCAGGTTTCCCTTGGTTCCGAAGAGCCTTGCCGGGGCGATTTGCTTCTCTGCCCCGGCTCTTTCTGCCAGTACTGTTTTGACCTTTTTCCTTATCATGCTTCTTATACTCAGCCCTCTGCTTCTTGACGAGCTGCTCAACCTGATGACACTCCTAGAGATCGTGGACCTTGGTCCGATGTATCTTGCAGTATAGTCCATCACCTATCCCCGCTTCTGTAGCAACTAGACCTCAAACAGTCTGATATCTGTGCATCAGTGTCATCCCTGGATCAGTAATGCTGACACGCACAGTACTTGAAGGATTTATAATAGAGTAGCAATCACACATTTATTACATCGAATGTCTCCAAAGAGAACTTATTACAATAAATATGGCTTAAGGCCATCTAATAACGATAACAGTGGAAGGCTTGGAAGTTAAGTGAGTCCATCAA